AGAGAGAGGAGGAGAAGGAAAGTACTGAATGAGCCAACTAAGAGCATTGAAAGAACAAGAGGTAACATGTACATGCACATGTATTATACTTACTGGCTATACATGTACATGTATGTGCATACATGTACATGACTTTTAAAATAATGATGTACAGTGTAGCTATTTTTACCTTTTTGTCTTTCCATTTTTTCCATTTTTTTCTTTCTCCCTCTTTCTCAAAGGAGCACAGGAGGGATCAGATATTAGCTGACAGGCTCAACCGTCAGTCGTTGCAGGAGAAGAGAATAGTAACACAACTGATGCAGATCCGTAAAGAGAAAGACAACATTAGAGAAAACAGGTACATCATGTACTACATGTACATCTCTGGCCATGTGTGAGGGATAAAATCATTCACATTCTACAATAAAATATCACTGCATTGTTTTATTGTACATGTATAGATTATTTTTATTATAATTAATGTGTTTTAATGTTTAGGATTTTGAGACAGAAGCAGTATGAAAAGGAAAGAGAGAGAGAATTTGTACTTGCACTTGAAAGAGAAGCTGTAAGATCATGTACACAATGAATTTAGGTCTTGTAATTTTTGACACAATTTCTTTACACATACATGTGTACATGTAATACACATGCATTATTATTGCAGTTTATTCCTTTCCATTTTAAAATGTTTTTCTTCATTTTATATTGTTAGTTGGAGGCTAAAAGAAAAGCTGTTGTTGAGGAGATATTGTTCAAAGCTAAGCAAGACAAGCGGAAGCAGTTGCTTCAGGAGAGAGCGAGACAGAATTACGAGAAACACTATCAGATCTGTCACTCTATCATACTCCAAATGGTGGACCTAAGCACAAAGATTGGAGAATACAGGGAACTTACTCAATGGTACATGTACATGTATGTACATGTACAGTACTAGTATCCTTAAGTAAAAGCCCTTTTCAATTAGAAGTCATGGGTTACATGCACATGTACATTCATTAAAGAAAATAATTAAAAGTCTATTTATACAAAAAAATTTATACAGTGTTTACATGTACAAATGTATGCATGTACATGTACATGTAGGAGAACCAAATAGAAGCTGTTATACATGTGTACATGTACATGTACATGTACATATGGTAGATGTATATGTACATGTACATGTAGTTATATGATAATTATATGTGTACATGTACATGTACATGTTTAAGTCTTTTCTATTTTACATTTCCTATTTCACCCACTAGTGCTATACCGGTTAAGATGATACGTGATTGGAAGCTATTGTTTCTATTCAATAAACCACTTTATGAGGACAGTGGTCTTGTAACTGCTACTGAAGAGGAAGAAGAGAAAGGAGAGGGAGAGAGAGAAAAAGGAGGAGAGGGAGAGAGCGTCAGTCTCCAATCTACTAGTTCAGTCGATGATAAAAATGCTGAAGCTGACGATATACTTGATGATGCTGATTTACAAGAATATCTAGTAATTTTACATGTACATGTACATCCATTTTACTCATACATGTACATGTACATTGTATGTGTACATGTACATGTATGTCAGGGTTTCCCACAAAGCATGCTAAGTGAGCTAAACAGCATGAGCTTCATGAGCTGACAAGCACTACAATACAGTACATGGCATTTGGAGCAACTTTAAAAATTCATAAAAAATCCAAACTTCATTGGAATCAGTACAAACTTTCTATGCAGCATAAGAACATCTATATGTATCAGAGAAATTATAAAAATGAAGAATTCTCTCCTAGCCATTTTTGATGAAATTTGGCTTGATACCAAGGCTATAGCCTTGGGTAATTTGCCCGATTTTTGAGCAACTTTAAAAATTCATAAAAAATCCAAATTTGATCGGAATCAACTAAAATTTTCTACACAACATAAGAACATGTATATGTATCAGAAAAAATTATTAAAATGAAAAATTCTCTCCTTGTGATTTTTCTCAATTTACCCTGTACTATAGTACAGGTTCTATGGCCCAAATTTTGAGCAACTTGACAATTGATTGACTAGAAATTACACATGTATCTTTTGAATATTAAATATATATTATTCTTTTCTTTATAGCAAGTAACTAACGAGTGGTCCAGTGACATTACTGAGTGTCCTCATCCTCCTAATATGGTATTGTCTCATATTGTGTATCGACTCATTGAACTAGTCAAACCACCTCAAGTAAGTGATGGAAATACATGCAGTACATGTACATGTACATGTACAATAGCATCCTCTTTCATACATGTACATGTACATTTATATACGTACATGTACATGTATGTATATAAATGTACACTGTACATGTACTGTACATTGTTTTTATCATGTTTTTTTTCTTTAGCCTCCTTCCAATCCACCGTCACTGCCTAAGTTTTATTTAAAAGGATCATTCGTTGGTCTTCCATTCACTGGAAAAACTTCATCACTTAAATACATCAATGAAAGTACGACTACACATACATGTACATGTACCTGTGCATGTATAAACACATTGTACATTGCTATTAGGCAACTACTGTACATATAATGTACATGTACAATGTACATACTGTATGAACTTCATTGCATTATATTGATAATAAAGCAATGACATGTACATGTACATATGACATTTGTGTATGCTAAAACTATGTACATGTACTATCTAATATATTTTTATTAATTTAATTTTTCTCTACATTGTGTAATGTATAGCTCTTGGTGTCCTAATACTGAGTCCTAATGATTTGGTGATTAAAGCTATTGAAGTGTACAAGTCAGAGCTGACAGAGAGATACACCAGTGGGCCAGCCTCGCTCTCATCAGTGGAAGAGGAGGAGGAGGGAGGAGAGGGGGAAGGAGCCAAGGCTGATAGCGTCAAAGAAGAAGAAGGAGCTGAAGAAAATGAAGAAAAAGATGCTGAAGACTCTAAGAAGCAAAGCCCTTTTGAAGTAAATCAATTTTATACATGTACAGTGTACATGCAACACTACTTTTAATTTTACATGTACATGTACATGTATGCCAAAAACTGTGATACATGTATGTACACAGTTAACGAATGTAAAAAATACATGTATAGAGATGTGATGGAGAACTGCAGGAGTAACTGCATAAAACATGCATTTACATGTACATGTACATGTACATTGTAACTGTATATACTGTATTATTTTGTCAGGACTCTTCATTAAATAATGTGCT